AGATTGGCCTGGGCCACACATCGTCCTGTGCAAACTGAACTGAACTGAACTGAACTGATCAGTTGGTGTGCGATTACTGAAGGCCCGAGTGACTGGTAACGTTGGTCTTAATCACATTCAATATAACTTACAAATGGTAAGTTTAGTCGTTTCTTTCTGCAATTTAAAAGTTGCCAATCACACTCTTGAAAGCGGCCATCAATTTGCCAATGGTAAACCCTTATCTACAGTAAAATATATGCACATTTAGTTGGTAGAATTAAAAAGTGGAGAAACCTACAACGGGCATCTGGTGGCATGCGACGATTGGATGAATATACACCTCAAAGAAGTCATATGTACTTCGAGGGTTAGTTATTTGTGTATTTATAATACTTTCAAATAGGATGGTGACCGATTTTGGAAGATGCCTGAATGTTACATTCGAGGAAGTATAATAAAATATCTCCGCATTCCTGATGATGTGATTGATAAAGTGAAGGAAGATATGCAACTTGCAAAATCTAGAAATCGCTCTCAATCAAATGATGGTGCTGGGCGAGGCTTCAATCGTAACAAAGGACGAGGTAGGTTAACTTACCTCAGGCAATGGAATTCAATGGCCTGAGCTTACCTCGGTGATTCATGGTGTTGTATGCTTAGATACACCCATGCGTTTATACTGTTTCATTGTTCATGGATTGTTTAAAAGAGCGGATCAATGTAATTAAACCTGATCTAGAATTGTTCAGTGTAAAAAACAATGACTCTTAAAATAAATTGAGGCGATAGACTACAATATTTGAAGATGTCTCTTCGTTTTCGGTACATTTAATCCTATTGTTGTTTTCGTTTTGGTTGTACAAGCATGCTGAATGAATCGGATGTTGCTGATACCAAAACCATCGGTGTGGGAAGTATAAAGACAATGGTTTATACCGCAAGCAAATCTAGCATGTAGATGGCCGCTGCTTAATCAAAACTCTTTACGACACTATTGAATTGCAGCCATCATTATCTTCAACCGGAAGGTTCACTAACGGCTCATTGGTTGCACTGTCAAATGCACTTTGACAGTTAGCGTATAAAAGAAACCGAAGAGCTTTTTCCCTACTATTTCACCAGACCCTGACGTTATACCGGTGATTCTTCTAAATAACTGGGCAAGACCCTTGGGTGCCCCACTCATTAGGCCTTTCACTTCTGTCATAAGAGTTGAAATGTTAGGTATCACTTCCATCTGGAAGAAGTCCACAGAACCTGCGATCCTTCTCTTTAAGGACAGTTGAAATGAATCAGTCATTGGTATTTCATATCGAGTCGACCCACAGTCTCTACTATTATCGCTAGACTAACAAGACGAGGATCCTTAGTGCATAACTTAGTCTATTTAGGACATAAGATCAACTGCTTCGTGGAAATCTGTACCTGCGTCAGACTAGACTTGGAGTACACCATCCAGTTTTGTCTAACAATGCTCATCAAGAATATAAGCACTCTTAACTTGGTTTAACGCAGAGCAACCAACACGTTGTTGAACTAAAACACCTGAGTTGTGAGGAAAAACTGTAGTCTTAGTTCAGTAACATACAGATGGTTACGGTGAGACCTCACAAGGTCATCGGATTCACACTCATCTGTTTATCTCCTCATCGCATCAGGAGCGTTCAAGACACTCCGACAAACTAAAAAAAAGAGGACGGCACCATGCTACATTGGACAGAAGAGATTTTTTTTGCATCAACGGAACTTTTCAGTACACCTAAATCATTGGTCATATGCCAGAATCTTTCAGCTTTCATCAGTCTCATTTCTCAGGTCAATAATCAAACCTAACAAATCGCAATACAAACGAAATAAAACTCCGAGCATAATAAATAAATAGAAATACGAAAAAAAGCTTTCTTCGACTGTAAACGAGGTTAACTATTGGACTCCACTAATGAACCTGACTACACATGTCACCGAATGCCTCTCGCTGAAAACAACACTCCCGAAGAGCCGAGATATATTTTCATTCGTCAGCGCCATAATTTATGGAATATTTTTACGTATTCAGTGTTTGCCATTTGCGTGTGTCATAGATGTTTGTAGTATGTGACCGAAATATCAAAGGGAAAATGTGAATTTCGTTTTATTGAACATTTNCCACACTAGACGCAAATGACATTGCGAAGATAGTGGTGTGTATAAACAAGGATGACAAACACGGTGAATACAAAGCATCCCGGACTTGCAACTCTGCAACTAATTTACAATGAATCAGACAGTGGAAAAGACTTGCACCAACGCTCCAAATAACTCAGACTCAATAACTTCATGCGAGCCCTTCCGATTCTCAGAGTAATGTTTGTCACACATACAGCAGCTATGATTCAAGTTCCCAGTTAAACAAGGCCATCAACATTGTCTGACTCTCGCCACCCGAAATAAGTTTACACGGATTCCTTCTGGTCGTCAATCAGTACTGTACAAACATATCCTTTGATTCGACATAAACGTGATTTTCTAGGTGTTAATTATGTTGTTTCTAGTCAAACTCATTACGAAGAAACTGTACCTCCGCTTCTCATGACTACCGATGTTCCACAAGCTTCCATGCTTTCACTCTCGCTCTTTTTAGGTGGTGTTGGCTCAGTGGTTTGGTTTCTGTCACCGGCGTGTTTCGGACCCTATGGCCCATGGTTCGTGCCCCGTCAGTACCACCCAACTTTGGTGGCAGTCAGCTTTGCTGTCGTTCAGTTCAATGCTGCGCCTAACTTAGTGGGGCCTTATGTGGTTCCCCACTCCAAGTCCCGCAGCTTAGGTTGCCGATTTCCTCCATTAAACAGCAGGTCCCCTTGATTATGGGGTTTACCCTCGTCTGGTGTTCATCACACACTGGTGTGTAATGATAAAAGACTTGTAACTGTACTCCTATGTGTATTGGACAGCAAACGGAACAAAACCAGAATTTGCTCACTCATTTAAACTCACAACCTTATCTGGGCTTAGACTGGCGAACTACATGAGGTTCCTCTAGGTTAGGCGTGGTATTGGGCCGGAAAACAATGAAGCTGTCTACTGTGTTCTGTCCAAAACCTCTAACCCCATTCAAGTTTTAGCTGATGATGCTACTCTTCATTGTTCTCACGCCACAAACCGCCAGGCTACCATATACATTTATAATGATAGCAATATCATTAGTGCGTCATGTGACTCCGATCTTGGACTCATCTCTGTGTGGGATTCTACCAACCATGTTTTAATGCTTCCTTAACCTCTCCTTTCAATTTACCTTTGCAAGTCCCTTATTATTCTCAGTTGAGTCATAGTTCACTTTTCATTCGTTCCACATCCTCTCTCCTGGGATTTATTATCAATCGTGGAACACCTTTCCGCAGTTCCAACCACAAAACGTTTATTTAAAAGCAGAATAAACAATTTGGTTATTACCTAAGTGTTTCCTAAAAAAATCCTCGTACAGTAAGTCTTGACTATGATGCTTTAGGTATAAACGACTTTAAAAGTAATAACAAAAAATATGCATATTTCATATCAACATTACTATTGGATTCTGTTTCGTGTAAAGTTCGAGGTAATCATCCATAAATTGTATTTCGCCTCGTACTAATCGTCTTTTCCTTCTAGGTCGCGGTGGTGCTGGTGGTGGAGGTCCCAGAGGCGGCGGGGGTAGCGGACGCGGCGGTCCTGGTTTCGGCGGTGGTCGTGGAGGTTCCTACCGAGGGAAACAANGGAAACAACCATAGTTAACCATAACTTGTCAAACCCTTGTCTATTTTTTGTACATAAATATGCACAGTATGAGTTTCTATTTCCTTTTTTTGACCGGGCCTTTCGATTCAATCAAAATCTAAAAATAACCTTTTTAAATATCACATAAATGTCTAGTGTTTGCCCATATAAACCCTGAATGTTGCACTCAGGATTAGCAAAATGACCAAGTGGCGCCCGTGCACCTACTCAGTTGCTTCGATAATTTAGTTTAGTAGCATCATCGTATAGAAAAATCGCTACCAAGCTCCTTCCCTTGGACTTTCTTTCAACATTCCAACTTTCATTCTGCTCTTTTATCCAAATGGGCAGTCAAAAACCGGCGCGCGAAAGTGCTTGGCAGATTAACGGTGAGTGTGACCGCATGATCAGAAATTTTCAGGTGATGAGGAAAAAGATGCGGATCCGCTGGCTTCCACTTGTTTCGGAGCTGTCAGAACAGGCGCCCCTGCCACCCTGGGCGACAGGGCCACAGTAGTCGCACCACCAAGCACTGACTGTGGGATTCCTTTCCTGTTCTCAAATGTGAGAGGGGATGCTCAATAAACGGGATGAAGTGGAAGCATGGGTTGTCGATCATGCCCCAGTGATGATAGCCTTACCAGCCTTAACGTGGCTTCCTCATGAGGTATCCGACGCCAAAACTTCGCTCTCAGGATACAGCATGTTTCGTACTGACAGGTCAGTCTCGGGATCCGGTGGTGGGGTGATCCTCTGCATCAGCGAAGATTGTCCTGCAGTTCACCTTCAATCGATCGCTTATCCTGTAGGGTACGCTGAGGCAGTGTGGTGTAAAGTGAAGGTGGGGCGGGCGGGGTGCTTATCAGTCGGACTGATGTGTAGAACCCCGTCAGCCAGTGTTGAGGATGTTCTGCACAGCATCCGGCGGTGGACCATGGGCGGACGTTGTGTGCTTCTGGGCGACTTCAACGCTCCCAGTATCAACTGGGAGGCCGGAGTTTGTGATTGCCGTGGTGGTACGTTTGAGTGTCAGCTATTTGAGCTGTTGGAATCTCTCTCAGTGTATTAGCATATTCGGGATCCCACTCGCGTCCAGGGGTGTCCGGCATCGGTGTTAGACTTTGTCATATCACCGAGACTTTCTGGCGTGGTCGATATAGTTCGACTAGGTCCTTTTGGATCAAACGACCATGTGGCTATTGTGATTTATTGGCGCACAAACTTTCATATCGTGAAAGATGCTCAGGAGCGTCCGAATGTGTGAAAGATACAATACGAGGAACTGCGAGCGGCTGAGCAGTGTCTCCAGTGGCTAACAGATGAGGATATCCATGATGATGTTGAAACCAGGTGGGCTCAGTTCAAGAGCAGCATCGTCAGCATGTTCGCTCCACCCAGGGTAGTACGGACTTATGCCAAAGGCCCCCCATGGTTCAACCGTGAACTTCGGAACCTTCCACGCAGATGCCATAGGGCTTGGAAATTCTTCCAGCGAACCAGTAGAGGGTACAACCACTACAAAGATATCCGCAACCAGTGAACGCTGGAAACGGGCGGCCTTCGAGGATAGCTTGGCAGCTACCGCGCCTAAGAGGCTATTCGCTTATCTGAGACGAAGAATCAGAGTTCCTCCCACCTTAATACTACTCTTGGACCATGGAATGCTAAAGAATGATCCAGGTGAGCAGGCGGATAAATTCGCAAGGTATTACGCATCAGTGTATGAGTCAGAGGAGCCGTTCCCTGAAGATCTGCACACTCAGGATNNNNAGGATCCTAGCTCACCCGTTTTGGCTGTCCCGGAGTTCAACCCACGTAAAGTGCAGGTCGCTCTAAAGAATCTGAACACCAACCAATCCCCGGGTCCTGATGGACTGCATCCAAAGGTGTTGA